TCTTTGGCAGCTGAGTGTGAGCCATTGTAGCTAATATTGTGTTAGACTATTACACGAGATTAATCACAATCAATATTGATAATACTACCCTCCTTGTTGGAATGTTCAAACAGAAATGCTTTCATGATTCCTCTGACCAGAATCATAACATTGTCGCTCATCTTACACACTGGTATAATTCCAGTAATATTACTCTGTCTAGACATTTATGACAATCTCGAAAGACTTATTGAAAATTATTTAGAACCGCCTCGACAGCTACTCAGACCTCCTTGTACTCCAAAGGTACTGTTACAATAGTAATAATAATAATAATAATAATAATAATATCTTTATTTCTACAAATACATGTACAAGGTATACAGTCCTAGCCGCTTGTTATGCAGAGCATTTCGGGGAAATTAGATCAGTTTTGTCCCAGGATGCGACCCACACCAGTCTACTAACTCCCAGGTATCCATTATTACTGATGGGTGAACATAGACTACCGGTGTAAGGAAACACGCCCAATGTTTCTACCCTCGCCGGGAATCGAACATTGATATTCGCAGTGTGAAGCTAGAGCTTCAGCCATCAGGCCACTGGGCACCATGGCATTTAAATAACAGCAATGAAATGCTGGAATTGTTTCAAACTGCTCTTGCTGCTGCCAGGGAGCATTTGGCAGAAATTCAGTAGATTGGGAAACTATTATCAAATGTTTAAATGCTCATACCTCACTTAGTTGTTAATGGAGGAATATAAATAGAATTAAGAACAGCAGAACAGTTATTCTCTACACATAGTGAGTGAAGTAGTGAGTGCTTAGGCTACTACATGTAAATTTAGCAATCTAGCCACAGTCGATGTTAAAAGCAAACCAAGGTGTCAGGGAAGATGATCGCAAGACTCCTGAACTCGATGCTGTATTAGCTAAAAGTTACTACAGATGTCACTTAGATCATACTCAGATTGCTCTATCAAGTGTCAGAAAATCCTTTACTTGATCTATACAACATGATGTATGCAACTGGGGAGCTTCCTGTATCATGGAACTAATGTGAAAATTATGTAAACAGTGAATTTTGTACTGGTTGACAATGCCGCACCTCAACTCGTATTTGTGTCAGACAAAACGCTTAAAGCGCTAAAAAGCTGCGGAACGAAATAATGAGTTATCCCGCCCGTGGTATGGTTTGTTTGCAATCGTGTCATTACGATTTCGTGAGTCATGTCGAGTCGAGTTATCCTAGGATTGTCATGAACGACTAAACGAATAAACATATGGGAAAACTTAAAATTCCAAGTATTAAAGCTAGTGTTTTTGAGAGTGATGTCCTCAGTGGTGTTAATATGGGCAGGTAACAGATAAACCCATCCAAATCCTTGCACAGTCTTCTAAACTTTCTTCACCACAGGTGAGCTCTACTGTAAACGGCTCATAAAAATTGGTGCTGACCGCTAAACGACTCAGATACACGAACAATATAAATTAAGACAACAACACAACGGCACTTTACCACAGATAGAGGGGACATGATAACGACATACAAAATACAGAGAGGAATTGACAAGATGGACAAAGACAGGATGTTCCAGAGATGGGACACAGCAACAAGGGGACACAGTTGGAAGTTGAAGACACAGATGAATCACAGGGATGTTAGGAAGTACTTCTTCAACCACAGAGTAGTCAGTAAGTGGAATAGTTTGGGAAGCGATGTAGTGGAGGCAGGATCCATACATAGCTTTAAGCAGAGGTATGATAAAGCTCACGGTTCAGGGAGATTGACCTAGTAGCGACCAGTGAAGAGGCGGGGCCAGGAGCTAGGACTCGACCCCTGCAACCTCAACTAGGCGAGTACAACCAGGTGAGTACACTATGTAAAATGCTTCTTTCCATATTACAATCCTTAGTTTTAAGACTCTCTGATCGCGGGTTCTATCCCCACCCGTGGTATGGTTTGAAAGCTTAGTATTGCATCGAAGCATGGAAATCTAGGTTGCATTAATGACTTAGTCACACAGCACTCTCTTCAACAAGTTGTGTATGTTGATGACTCTGTTCACCAACCTGCTGGTGCAGCTGGTAGTACAATGTACCATTGTCCGAGTAATGGCTCGTATAGAGGACCTGGAGCAGACATCAATAATTGGGTTTCCACTCTTCATAATCAACTGCTTATTAACTCATTGCATTCGAATATGTACATGTATCTACGGCTGACTATATGTGTAAGTGCTTATCATCCACGGATACTCATGACTCCATGGGTATCATGTGTGACTTACTGGAGTTTACCTGGAGAGAGTTCCGGGGGTCAACGCCCCCGCGGCCCGGTCTGTGACCAGGCCTCCTGGTGGATCAGAGCCTGATCAACCAGGTTGTTACTGCTGGCTGCACGCAAACCAACGTACGAGCCACAGCCCGGCTGATCAGGAACCGACTTTAGGTGCTTGTCCAGTGCCAGCTTGAAGACTGCCAGGGGTCTGTTGGTAATCCCCCTTATGTATGCTGGGAGGCAGTTGAACAGTCTCGGGCCCCTGACACTTATTGTATGGTCTCTTAACGTGCTAGTGACACCCCTGCTTTTCATTGGGGGGATGTTGCATCGTCTGCTAAGTCTTTTGCTTTCGTAGTGAGTGATTTTCGTGTGCAAGTTCGGTACTAGTCCCTCTAGGATTTTCCAGGTGTATATAATCATGTATCTCTCCCGCCTGCGTTCCAGGGAATACAGGTTCAGGAACCTCAAGCGCTCCCAGTAATTGAGGTGTTTTATTTCCGTTATGCGCGCCGTGAAGGTTCTCTGTACATTTTCTAGGTCAGCAATTTCACCTGCCTTGAAAGGTGCTGTTAGTGTGCAGCAATATTCCAGCCTAGATAGAACAAGTGACCTGAAGAGTGTCATCATGGGCTTGGCATCCCTCGTTTTGAAGGATCTCATTATCCATCCTGTCATTTTTCTAGCAGATGCGATCGATACAATGTTATGGTCCTTGAAGGTGAGATCCTCCGACATGATCACTCCCAGGTCTTTGACGTTGGTGTTTCGCTTTATTTTGTGGCCAGAATTTGTTTTGTACTCTGATACTAGTGTCAGAAGTTAGACAAAGTATGGTAGAACTGTAGACAGTAGATTTCATCTCATATTCTTCAAATGCATGATAGAACTGATGAATTGGCAAAGGCATATATATATGCCTTCAAGGAGAAAGGACATTAAATTTTTGTACTGTTCACTAATAGTTTAAAGTCACTGACTTTTTTTGGGTTATCCTAGGTAATCTACACATATGCTGCTATGTATGATAATTAAAATATAATGTAACTGTATTTATGTGTACCTGTACCTGAATACACTTACTTATTCGTGAACTGTTAACAATAGACAAGATAAAGAATTAGATATATGTGCGATATTTGGGTATTAACATCTGTAGACGTTTCGCCATCTAGTGGCTTTATCAGTACAATACAAAATTATAGAACTATGATCGAGAAATGTGGTAATCAGTCCCTCAGTCTTGGAGTTAGTGAAGAGCACCTTAGTCGTCAAGACTATAAATAAACATATCCAGATGTGTGATTCTTCGTGCCTCTGTTCGCCTAGCAGCAAGGTACTTGAGCACTAGCAAATACTTGATGATATCATTATTGGCCTACAGAAGATTCCCAGCTCAAACTGACACTACTGAAGTCTCCCATCTCAAGCTGACAGTACTGAAGTCTCCCATCTCAAGCTGATGCTACTGAAGTCTCCCAACTCAAGCTGAAACTACTGAAGTCTCCCAGCTCAAGCTGAAACTACTGAAGTCTCCCAGCTCAAGCTGAAACTACTGAAGTCTCCCAGCTCAAGCTGAAACTACTGAAGTCTCCCAGCTCAAGCTGAAACTACTGAAGTCTCCCAGATCAGGCTGACAGATTTCAACACTTGTATGAGCCTCATCCTGCGTGATGGGTTAAGACAGGAAAACAGGTTTTGTTCCCACTATGTAACTATCATATTGTAAATAACCCAAGCTGGCTTTTTTGGGTTATAAATCCTCTGGGGTTAATATTCCAAAGAAAATCTACAACATGTAATACATTCGATTCACATTATCTTCTACCAAGCTTCATCTATTGGAAAAGTTAACCATGATATTCGTTTTCTATTACTAACTCACTAAAGAAAATAGTTCTAGCAGAGGGTAGACATTTACGTTCTTTAGCATTCATGGAGCATCATCTCACCTTGATATAATAATATGCTTGATAATTTAAATTCACCATCCCTGAAATCTGTGCATTCAGTCTGGACCTGAGAAATATATATGTTATGGAGCATACACTTTTACTACAATGAATCCATTATATGAAGACCTTGTTACTGAGATGAACCATCAATACACTTGGATACAACAAACTAGCTCCTCTTCAACTAAGTAGTAGTAGTGAGGGTGGATAGATCACTGACTCATGGCTTCGAACGCGGCGTGAGAACGTATATGAACTAGAAAAGAAATATAAACAGTGCAAAACAGATGCCATTATTAATTTCCCAAATTAAACCGTAAGTTCGAGAAATTAAAAGTATAATGAACGATTCCAGCAAGGCGTCAACCATGCTGCTTCTGCTGTCAAAATGTGGTTTAAAATCGAGTCTGCAAGGCTTGCACCGGGAATATTCAGCTTCACTTGGCAAATACAAACAATATTATCGACAGGAAGCTCAGAATCATTACTGCTTATGAGAAGACGGGCGTACATGAAATCTCTTGCATAACTCCTTTTAAAGTTCAAACTATACTGAAGAAAAGGTAAAGCTATCTCACCTGGAGAGGAAATAACCTATAAAATAACCTATAAAATCCAAAGACTTCTCAATGAGTTGCCCGACAACCCTCTCCTTGATCTTACGGTGTCCACTGGAAAAGTGCATCGTGTCCATTCTAAAATCATATTCTAATAAGTTTAGACCCATGTCACTAACGTGCTGCATGTTTAAGACGTCCTTGTGAGAATTATCTTTAATTAACAGGCTCTATCTCCAAATATAGCATCAATTCTCTCCCCAGTCTCAGTGGGTTCCTACTTGGAAGAAGCACCCAAAATAGCTTCCTCGAGTACTTCACCAGGCAGAGACCAGGCGCAAAATCAGCCTTTACCGACCTCAAACCAATAGAACACTAATCTAAGAACAACTGACAACTTTTGGTGTTAGACGAAAAACTAATAACTTGGATCAACGGAAAAAAAAAAAAACTTCAGTCATATACCAAGGTCTCAGGTGTCTCACTTGAACTGGACACACCTAAATGTGGATGGAACAGCCCAATTTTATTTTATGTTCTGATGCACAAGCTTGTGTCAAACATCCGTACACAAGATGATGATACTTTCATATGTTAACTGCATCTCTTCTAAACTCATCCAAGGTACAACAAGTTCTGCTCGACACCTTGACAGCTAGTAGAATTGTGATTTTTACATACCTACAAGACCAAAACCTCATATCTAAGTGATCACACTAACATTATAATAATGTTAGACAAATGCCGACACGTACATGAACAAGACACATCTGCAACAGTATATCTTAATTTCCGAAAGTGTTTCGTCTGCATAGCACTCTTCTTCAGTCTATCATCCTTGAAGAAGTAATTTTGAGGCAGTCAGTCCAAATTTTTAAAAAAGGAGACAGACACGAGGCATTCAACTACTGACCAGTGTCATTGACATGTATAGTACACAAAGTCATGGAGAAGATTATCAGAAGAATGGTGGAGCACCTAGAAAGGAATGAGCTTATCAACGACAGCCAACACGGTTTCAGGGACGGGAAATCCTATGTCACAAACCTACTGGAGTTCTGACAGGATAACAGCAGTAAGGCAAGAGAGAGAGAGAGAGAGAGAGAGAGAGAGAGAGAGAGAGAGAGAGAGAGAGGTGGGTATACGGCATTTTCATGGGTTGTAAGAAGGCGTTTTACACAATTCCACGCAAGAGATTAGTGCAAAAGCTGAAGGACCAGGCAGGGATAACAGGGAAGGCACTTCAATGGATCAGGGAATACCTGTCAGGAAGACAACAACGAGTCATGGTACGTGGCGAAGTGTCAGAGTGGGCGCCTGTCAAGAGCGGGGTTCCACAGGGGTCAGTCCTAGTGCTAGTGCTGTTTCTGGTATTTCTGAACGACGTGACAGAAGATATAGACTCAGAAGTGTCCCTGTTTGCAGATGATGTAAAGTTGATGAGAAGAATTCAATCGGACGAGGACCAGGCAGAACTACAAGGGATCTGGACAGGCTGCAGGCTTGGTCCACCAACTGGCTTCTGGAGTTCAACCCCACCAAGTGTAAAGTCATAAAGATTGGGGAAGAGCTAAGAAGACCGCAGACGGAGTACGGTCTAGGGGGCCAGAGACTACAAACTTCACTCAAAGAAAAGGATCTTGGGGTGAGCATAACATCAGGCGCATCTCCTGAAGCGCACATCATCCAAATAACTGCTGCAGCATACGGGCGCCTAGCAAACCTAAGAACAGCATTCCGACATCTTAATAAGGAATCATTCAGGGCCATGTACACCGTGTACGTTAGACCTATATTGGAGTATGCCGTGTCAGTTTGGAACCCACACATAGCTAAGCACGTAAGGAAGCTAGAGAAAGTGCAAAGGTTTGCAACTAGACTAGTCCCAGAGCTAAAGGGCATATCCTACGAGGAGAGGTTAAGGGAAATCGATCTGACGACACTGGAGGACAGGAGAGACAGGGAGGATATAATAACGACGTATACAATACTGAGAGGAATCGACAAGGTGAACAGAGACAGGATGTTCCAGAAATGGGACACAGCAACAAGGGGTCACAGTTGGATGTTGAAGACTCAATTGAATCACAGGGATGTTAGAAAGTATTTCTTCAGTCACAGAGTTGTCAGGAAGTGAAATAGTCTGCGAAGTGATGTAGTGGAGGCAGGATCCATACATAGCTTTAAGAAGAGGTATGCCAAAGCTCATGAAGCAAGAAGAGTGGCTTAGTAGTGACCAGTGAAGAGGTGAGGCAGGGAGCCATGACTCGACCCCTGCAATTACAACTAGGTGAGCACATGGGGGATATTTCATAACTCATGACACTATTTTTTTATTGAGAAAACTATTGCAAATGTTGAAAATTCAGAAAAATTCATTTTAAAGTTCATAAAAATAAGCACCAAATGGCGTCATCAGTTTAGTTACATGTACCGCCGCCAGATGGAAACACACAACACATACACACAACACACACACACACACACACACACACACACACACAACACACACACACAACACACACACACAACACACACACACACAAACACAAACAAACATTTTATTTGCTTCGTTTCAATTCCTTAAATCTTGAAAAAAAAAAAATATTTACTGCAAAGAAGCCACAATTCAGTTGTCTTCAACGTTAATACTTGTAGGGTAAACATTTATGCTTGAAACTAACCACAAGTTACTGTTGTACCTGGAGAATTTTAAAGGGACCAATAGCAGAATATTAAGATGGCGTTGGCTATCCAGTCATATAAGTTTCAGGTTGTACTTATAGCTAGCTAGTTCAGACAATTATTTCTCAGACTGGTTGAACCAAGAGGGCTCCTCATTACGTGAGATTCACACACGAACACATACGAAACACACACACACACTATATATATATATATATATATATATATATATATATATATATAAAATATATATATATATATATATATATATATCGTGCCGAATAGGCAGAACTTGCGATCTTGACTTAAATAGCAACGCTCATCTTGCCGTATAGGACAGGCGAAAATTTGTGTATGGAATAATTTCGCCAAAATCATTCTTAACCTAAAGAAAATAAATATATTTCACTGTGTTTGTTTAGTATTAAATTACTGTAAACAAATCAAAAATATATTTAGTTGGGTTAGGCTAAAATAAATTACTCTTGTTATAATAAGGTTAGGTAAGTTTTCTAAGATTCTTTTAGTGCAAAATTAAAATTTTTTATATTAACATTAATGAAAAAATATATCTTTAAACGTATAAGAGAAAATTTTAGAAAGGACTTAATTTTAAATGAGTTCTTGCTAATTGACCAGTTTTACATATTCGGCACGACATATATATATATATATATATATATATATGGGCTAGTAACCCATTTTCCTGTAAAAATTACTAAAAAGAATAAGAAGAAGTAAATTGTCAAAGTGGGAAGTCTGAATGTGCGTGGATTGTTATGCAAATGATAAGAAAGATATGATTGTGGATGTTATGAATAAGAAGAAGCTGGATGTCCTGGCTTTAAGTGAAACAAAGATGAAGGGGGTGGGAGAGTTTCAGTAGAGAGGAATAAATGGGATTAGGTCAGGGGTTTCAAAAAGAGTTAGAGCTAAAGAAGGAGTAGCAATAATGTTGAAGATAAGTTATGGCAGGAAAAGAGAGACTGTAAATGTATTAATTCAAGATTTATGTGGAGTAAAATAAAGGTTGGATGTGAAAAATGGGTTATAGTAAGCGTATATGCACATGGAGAAGAGAGAACTGTAGAGGAGAGAGAGAGATTTTGGGAAATGTTGAGTGAATGCGTGGGGAGTTTTGAATCAAGTGTGAGAGTAATGGTGGTTGGGGATTTGAATGCTAAAGTGGGCAAAAATGTTGTGGAGGGAGTAGTAGGTAAATTTGGGGTGCCAGGGGTAAATGAAAATGGGGAGCCTTTAATGGAGCTATGTGAAGAAAGAGGTTTGGTAATAAGTAATACATATTTTATGAAGAAGAGGATAAATAAATATTCAAGGTATGATATAGCACGTAATGAAAGTAGTTTGTTAGATTATGTATTGGTGGATAAAAGGTTTATAGAGGGGCAACTGATATATCGGATCATTATTTAGTTGTAGCTACAGTTAGAGTAAGAGGTAGATGGGAAAAGAGGAAAACGGCAACAACAAGTAAGAGGGAGGTAAAAGTGTATAAACTAAGGGAGGAGGAAGTTTCGGGGGAGATATAAGCAACTATTGGCAGAAAGGTGGGCTGGTGCAAGTATGAGTAGTGGGGGGAAGGGGAGGTTGAAGAAGGTTGGAATTGTTTTAAAAATGCAGTATCAGAATGTGGAGCAGAATTTTGTGGTTATAGGAGGGTGGGTGCAGGAGGAAAGAGGAGTGATTGGTGAAATGAAGTAAAGGGTGTGATAAAAGAGAAAAAGTTAGCTTACGAGAGGTTTCTACAAAGAGTAAAAGAAAGGTGAAGAGAGTGGTGAGAGAGTGCAAAAGGAGAGCAGATGATAGAGTGGGAAAGGCACTGTCAAGAAATTTTAATGAAAATAAGAAAAAATTTTGGAGTGAGTTAAACAAGTTAAGAAAGCCTAGAGAACGAATGGATTAGTCAGTTAAAAACAGAGTAGGGGAGTTAGTAGATGGGGAGATGGAGGTTTTGAGTAGATGGCGAAAATATTTTGAGGAACTTTTAAATGTCGACGAAGAAAGGGAAGCGGTAATTTCATGCACTTGCCAGGGAGGTATACCATCTTTCAGGAGTGAAGAAGAACAGGATGTGAGTGTGGGGGAGGTGTGTGAGGCATTAAGTAGAATGAAAGGGGGTAAGGCAGCTTTAACTGACGGGATCATGACAGAAATGTTAAAAGCATGGGGGGATATAGTGTTGGAGTGGTTGGTATTTTTGTTTAATAAATATATGAAAGAGGGGAAGGTACCTAGGGATTGGCGGAGAGCATGTATAGTCCCTTTATATAACAGGAAGGGGGACAAAAGAGATTGAAAAATTATACAGGAATAAGTTTACTGAGTATACCAGGAAAAGTGTATAGTAGGGTTATAACTGAAAGAATTAGAGGTAAGACAGAATGTAGGATTGCAGATGAGCAAGGAGGTCTTAGAGTGGGTAGGGGATGTGTAGATCAAGTGTTTACATTGAAGCATATGTGTGAACAGTATTAAGATAAAGGTAGGGAAGTTTTTATTGCATTTGTGGATTTAGAAAAGGCATATGATAGAGTGGATAGGGGAGCAATGTGGCAGATGTTGCAAGTATATGGAATAGGTGGTAAGTTACTAAATGCTGTGAAGAGTTTTTATGAGGATAGTGAAGCTCAGTTTAGGGGGTGTAGAAGAGAGGGAGACTTCTTCATGGTAAAA